GAACATTGCTCAACATCATGAAAATTAAACCTTATTTTCAATAAGCAATCCTGAAAAATATTTGGGGTGCTTAACTTTTTTCCAGGTGTATATAACTTCCTGAAGGATGTAACTAGGCTAAAATGACAAGGACTAACTGACGGAAGGGGGGGGGGAGGTACAGTACTTGCAGTTTGAAATGTGGTACCCATCTTTGTAAGTTACTCCCCAAATCTTAAATTTAAAACGAGAATTCACTGACAAGGATATTGGTGTCTAGCACATAGTGTAAGAAAAGTAACAGAGTTCAAAAACAGATGGCAGCACTCTCGCTTTAATTGTTTTGTTTGTTTTGAAGTTAAGCATAAAGCTACATAATAGGCTACCTGTGCTCTGCCTACCACGGGTATCTCGCTTTAATGAACCAGTTTCTCGTATTCTAGTCCGAGGTATAGAAACATGTTGAAGAACTAGTGAACAACCTAATCTTGTATGCAGTTCAAACTTAAAAGATAGAAACAGAAGAATAAAATTTATTAACGGAAAATTTTGAAGTCTTAATCTAATTTCAATATCCCAGGCAATATAATTTGCTCAGGAATATTCTACAAACGAAAACCAAATAAGATTAAATTTATAATAATCAAATTACCCATAACATTGTTCAAGTCCTGTAACGTTTCTAGGATTTTTTATTATTTTTATTTTGAAGGACATAAAGGGATCAAAGACTTAGTTTTCAGAGCAGAAAAACGTTACCACTTTCATATCAGTGGGAGTTAAAATGTAGAGGATTTAAAACTTTTAAACGGGGGTTACTGGGGTCTGCCGACCCCTCCATGCTACCCCAGTAGACACGCCCCTGTTCAAGTTGTTCAAAATATGAATTGACGGACTACAACTTAACAAAATACATCTTTTGCTCGGTGTTACAGACAAGAAACGCTAACAAAATACATCTCTTGCTCAGTGTTACAGACAAAAAACGCTAACAAAATACATCTTTTGCTCAGTGTTACAGACAAGAAATGCTAACAAAATACATCTTTTGCTCAGTGTTACAGACAAGAAACGCTACTAAAAATGTAAATAACGACACCGTTGTTTCTCTTTCACAACTGTTCAGAATGTGTTCCTTCGGCATACAGAATGCACCGCATCCGTGTGACAACGAGCAGTGACAAGGTGCATTTCATCTGTCATGATAGACAATTCCCGGATAACTGCATCCTTGATCCTTGGCAATGTATCAGACACTCAGATACTTCCACAACCAGAAATTGCTGGTGTAAGGTCCAATGAACGAGATGGCCATTCACAAGGAAAGTGACAAATGATTCTTTCCTGAAAGTACTACTGCACGACACGTTTCACCTGGTTACTAAGGGTCGCCATCTTGCATGAAACCGTGGTGTCTATCACATTTCGTTGCTGCAGCATGAGAACAACATTGTTTTTGTGCATTGCACGGTACCATGCCCACTGAGTGGGTTGGTTTGCAGCTCGTGTGGTGGCGGTTCTTCAAAATCATACGGTCCAATAACAAAGTTAGCTGTAAAAAAACACCACGTTATCACCTGATCATCAAGGAGATGGGTAGGAAATGCTGGTTTCTCACCAGATAATTCAGTTGACGCCTCCAGAAAGGGAGAACTATATTTCATCAGTCCATAAGATATTCGCAGGTCATTGGTCACCAACATACAGTATTGTCAAGAACTGCAATACAAAATCGAAACATCGGGTTACATCAGTGGTTGGACACAATGCAGCTTGTAAGGAAATATTCTAAAAGTTGACCAAAGAACCTTACAAACAGCTAAAATTAGCAAATCCATACACAAGGTGACGTAATATGTACTGCTGCACCAATGTGCACTTGTACTGGCTTGTTCGGCTACAGCATGGCTAACATGCAGGTGTTGGTAGTCTGCCTGTACGTGGCTTATCACAAGTGCAACCTGTTTCATAAATTTTGTACAAACTTATGAAAAGCAACACAGGAACAAGGCTTTCTGTGGATGTTATGTCCTTGACGGTAGATCCTAAAAGCTACCTCGGTATGCATCCGTTGGTGTAATAAAACTTCAATAGTTTACTCCTTTGCACACTCACCAGTTTCATATTTGTTGAATGAGTTGCAATACGATCGATACGACCATTTATACCCACGGACAAATGTATGAAATAAACCGCAGCAGCGTTCCTGGTGACCACAAGAGACAACTGTGGCATTTGTAATCATATGATAACCTTACTACCCCTGTACAATTTCACACTCCTATTACATACCGTTTGTGAGATATTATGTATTGAACTGTGAAACCTTTTTTATAATAACTATACAAATGAGAAGCATCAGATTAACCAACTACTTAGTGACTGAACTCACATATAGATCGTGCCCATTCATCATATGTTCTAAGGGAAGATCATGGGAGTCCCTAACTCCTCAGTGACTGAATTCACACACAAGTCGTGCCTCTTCATCGTGTGTTCTAAGGGAAGATCACGGGAGTCACGAACTCCTCAATTACTGAAGTCACATACAGATCGTGCCCATTCATCGTATGTTCTAAAGGAATGTCATGGGAGTCACTAACTCCTCAGTGACTGAATTCACACACAAGTCGTGCCTCTTCATCGTGTGTTCTAAGGGAAGATCACGGGAGTCACGAACTCCTCAATTACTGAAGTCACATACAGATCATACCCCTTCATCGTGTGTTCTAAGGGAAGATCATGGGAGTCACTAACTCCTCAATGACTGAACTCACACACAGATCGTGCCCATTCATCGTATGTTCTAAAGGAATGCCATGGGAGTCACTAACTCCTCAGTGACTGAATTCACATACAGATCGTGCCCACTTATCGTATGTTCTAAAGGAATGTCATGGGAGTCACTAACTCCTCAGTGACTGATTCACATACAGATCGTGCCCATTCATCGTATGTTCTAAGGGAAGATCATGGGAGTCACTAACTCCTCAGTGACTGAATTCACACACAAGACGTGCCTCCTCATCGTGTGTTATAAGGGAAGATCACGGGAGTCACGAACTCCTCAATGACTGAAGTCACGTACAGGTCAACAGCAGAAGAAAATTCACCAATGTAGTGTATACATCTAGATTTTATATTAAAAATATTCATGTCCTAGAGGAGGAACTCTCACTTTGTTGAAAGGCTGGAGGAAGTACTTCCATCAATTGTAGGTCTAGTACACCATCTTAACCAACAGATGGAGATAGGCTGGAGGAAAGTACTTCCATCAATTGTAGGTCTAGTACACCATCTTAACCAACAGTTGAAGATAGGCTGGAGGAAGGACTTCCATCAATTGTAGGCTTGGTACACCATTTTCACCAACAGATGGAGATAGGCTGGAGGAAGGACTGCCAATCTTTCTAGACCTGGTACATCATCTTATCCAACAGATGGAGATAGGTTGGAGGAACGACTTCCATTATTTCTAGGCCTGGTACACCATCTTAACCAACAGATGGAGATAGGTTGGAGGAAGGAGTTCCATTATTTCTAGGCCTTGTACATCGTTTTAACCAACAAAACAATTGGGCATTTAAAGATTAAGAATGTTATTCTGCAAGAAGTTTTATCTTTAAGGGAGAATTTTCATAATAAATAAATTTACGCGAACAACAAAACACTATACAAATCAAGTAATCTTGGTGTAAGTGTGACTCTAGAGTTCTTTATTAGGTTCTTGGTTGTTTTAATTAGATAAATTTACGCAAACAACAAAACACTAAACAAATCAAGTAATCTTAGTGTAAGTGTGACTCTAGAGTTCTTCATTACGTTCTTGGTTGTTTTAATTAGATAAATTTACGCGAACAACAAAACACTATACAAATCAAGTAATCTTGGTGTAAGTGTGACTCTAGAGTTCTTTATTAGGTTCTTGGTTGTTTTAATTAGATAAATTTACGCAAACAACAAAACACTGTACAAATCAAGTAATCTTAAAGTAAGTGTGACTCTAGAGTTCTTCATTAGGTTTTTGGTTGTTTTAATTAGATAAATTTACGCGAACAACAAAACACTATATAAATCAAGTAATCTTGGTGTAAGTGTGACTCTAGAGTTCTTCATTAGGTTCTTGGTTGTTTTAATTAGATAAATTTACGCGAACAACAAAACACTATACAAATCAAGTAATCTTAGTGTAAGTGTGATTCTAAAGTTCTTCATTAGGTTCTTGGTTGTTTTAATTAGAATATACTGAAAATTACAATTTACCTCTAATGATCAGAGATGTCTCAGCTTTTTCAATTCCGGCGGTGTTCGACACCTCACACACGTAGAGTCCACTGTCCTTTTTCTCCACATTATATAAGGTTAATGAACCATCTGGTTGTAAATTGTATTTGCTGGACTTTTGAATCTGCGTTCTTACAAGATCACTCTTGTACCAGTGGACTTCCGGTACTGGATTTCCGCTAGCGACGCACGGTAACGTCATGGATTCTCCTTCCGTGACGTAGGCTAGACTCAGTGTGTGGACGACGTGAGGAGAGAGAGCTCCTTGAACTTCTTCGTGGAGAAACACCAAATAAAAAAAAATGCGTTATTTATGTCGTGCACATGCGAATGTCTGATGTTTTTAACATTTAATGTTAATTGTAATAATTCATTCCGTTTAAACATGTTTATTATAATTCATGTTAAGATCATGCTCAAGATCATCCAATATTATTTTATCTCTGATTTATTTAAGAAAATGATTAGTATTCAAATAATAACAATAAGTGTATTTCCGTTTATATGTCTCAATCGAGTACAGAGTAACTTAAGTTAAACAGTAACCTAGATTATTTTAAAACGAAAACTGTTTTGAAAAAATCTTCATTAAACAAGCTGGATTTAATACTTTGAAAACCAATAATGATTTCCTAAACCTTCAGCTTACAGAGTGAACCTAATAACAAGTTGTTTTAAGCAAGAAATACCAGGTTTGATTTCAACACCTGCTAGAAGGTAGCGACATCTACTGATGATCGATTATATTAGAACTTCCCTTTTATTAAAGGACTGCCTATATTATATATGCGATAGAGCATTTTGAGGAGGTTTCGTACATAAAAAGGGTAGATTTTTAAAATAGGTTCTGTTTTCTAATCTAGAAAATAGAAAATCAGACTGTTTTAACATTTTCAAAGTGTCATTAATGTAATTTGTTCCCTACCAAATATTAAGAATTTCATTTTCGCTGTTATTCCTTATTTGTTTCTTGGTTTTGAATTATTTGCAGCTTATGTTTGATTTTATTTTATTTCCATAGAGGGCAGTGCAATGATGACACAATGTTTTTATTTTGTTTTACAGATTTTATTTTATTTCCACAGAGGGCAGTGCAGTGATGACAAAATGTTCAGATTTAAGTGATGGGCAGTTTGTTCTATCGGAAATATGGTATCGAAGAGGGTGAGGTTCTAGAAGGAATGATACATCACGAGAAGATATTGAATCAGTGATCTGCCGTTGACAGATGTCTTAGGAGATCTGCTTCTGTAGAAATTGCTTAAATAGAAACAGAGTATTGATGACGTCACACAGAGTATTCGATCATAGCTCAATGGGAGCTTGTAAAGTAATTTAATGATTTGGAAAATGAATCAAAATGTGACTGAAAGTTCTTAACATGTAACTCTGAACTAAATAAAGTACTCACTGGATAGCTTAAAGCGATAAAATACGTCAAAATAAACTGATCTAAAGATTTATATTTTTTAAAATGTAACGCATGCTAGAAAACAAGACTTTTTCGAAAACTAAACTACGACTTTTTTAGGCTTATGTGTAAACGTTTGTTTCCTTACAAGTACCTAATGGACCAAGAAATATCGAAAACGATTATCATGGAGATAAGTCGTACGTTATGTTATTTATTAACACAAGTTACAAGTGTCAAACTATTATCATGGAAATAAGTCGTACGTTATGTTATTTATTAACATAAGTTAAAAGTGTCAAACTATTATCATGGAAATAAGTCGTACGTTATGTTATTTATTAACACAAAGTACAAGTGTCAAACTATTATCATGGAAATAAGTCGTACGTTATGTTATTTATTAACACAAATTACAAGTGTCAAACTATTATCATGGAAATAAGTCGTACGTTATGTTATTTATTAACACAAATTACAAGTGTCAA